GAGAGAGAGAGAGAAGAAGAAGATGGTGTGGAGAGAGGGAGAGGAGAGATATGTTTGAAAATCTTGTGCTGAAAATGAGTGGAGAGACGCCCTTTATATGGGCCTCATTGGCCTTAGGTTATTCCCATCTCAATCAGGATTTAGTTTGATCCAAAGAGTTTATGGTAATATACAAGGTGAGACAAATTAACTTAGTGACATCCCTCCCTTAAATTATTCATCATTATTTAGGGAGGAATCTAGAAACTTTATTCATTGAATCTTTTACCCATATCTACTTCTAGTCAATCTAGGATAAGACCAGTTAAATCTCATCTCTATCTTGTCTAGAATTTTTTTCTCACATAAACACTGTAGAAATTCAGAGTAAAAAATTTTTGATCAATTTTCAAAGATTTCATAAATATCAAATCGCATCCCTCACAAAATTTGCTTTTAGTCTCTCTTATGAAATATTTCCTACATAAGTGGGAGATCTCCCATAAAATATTCTGTGAATATCTTTTCCACAAATTTTCCAGGATTTCTGTAATAAAAAATATAGTATTTTATATTTGGTGGGGTGTCGCACCAATGTGGGATGTGTGGCCCATGTGGGCCCCATGTCCCACCCCATGTGGGCCCTCCATGTGTGTGAGCTGGGCCCTAGCCCCCCACCCCCTACCCCTCAAAAAAAAAAGCACATGGATCCAAACTAGCCCCTATTGATATCCAAAATATCAAATATGCTTCTATTAGAATTCTAATGCATAGAATATATTTTTAAAAATTTTGAAAAAATCCAAAAATCGTATGAACATCAATGAAGTTGAAAAAAATATTTTTGAAGGTCTTAAAAACTCTAAAACACTCATAAACCCCCCTACAAATGTATTGGTCCCAATGGGTCATGAAAAGTAATTGTCACGACACACCACCCGTGCTAGAAACTACGATCCATGATTATTTTCTTAACTAATTCAATGGGACTTATAACCCATAATCACTTGCAGGGGTTCATGAATGACCCATCAAAGCTAGCCAATAAATAGTAGAACTATGGTCCTAGTAAGTGAATTACATGTTCTCCCCCTTAAAGAGCAAGTCACATGCATAAGGGGACTTTCTCTATGTGCATGTACAAGAATGTGTCTATAGAGTTGCTTCTCAGAATGGGGATATCAAACATACATACCACTTGAAAGTTTGTTTAGGATTTGGCTTTCCATCTTAGAGGCCTATGGCAGTGCACACGCCACTACGAAGCTCTCTTGGCCTTTAGACCATCCTTGGGATCATTACGTCATCAATAAGGTATGACCCTCCGAGAAAACCCTCAACAATGGTGCTTGTGCTTTGGGGGAACAAAATTTTAAACGTGTCCCAGGCTATAGACTGCCAACCCTAGGTCAGTTAACCAACATACACTCCCATTGAAATGCACAATTCCCTATATTTATTATCTTTACATGCTCTCAAGGGCTTTAAAGGCTACAAACCGTAACAATTTGCAATTTAGAGAGGGTGATTTCCTACATGACTATATTCTAAGCATATTATTGTTTGCACCAGGGTTAAGAACCAAGATAAACTGAGAATACATGGATAATGCACAAGGTTTACCTGACAAGGAAGGATCTGAAAGTGCTTGAAGAACCTGGTGAAGTGCCTCAGAAAGAGATGCATGAGACATCATAAGTAGCTGTCGTGGCCTGCGTCTGAAATGATTTTGTTGTTGAAGAACTCGTGGTACAAGGACAATCTTGTATGAAGCCCTAAAATTCTTGAAACATAGATCTATAGTAGCAGATCCTAGAGAAATTGAAAAACCTCTAAAACCCTAGATGAATTTTATAACTTCTTTTGTTCAGCTTCAAAAACTCTAAGAAATTTAGTGTTTCAAGTGATTGTATGGAAACATACCAGCACTTTTACAAACTGCTAGAGTGATCACTATAGTAATGCTACGGTACTGCTATAGTGATCGCAACTGTGCTGCTATAGTAATAGCTACAACGATGCTATAGTTTCAACTGATATGAATTTAGGGTTCTGAACTACAGGGATTTAATCTTTGAATCATTCTGCTTAGTAGGAACATGGTTATTTTGGCATATGTTTCCTTAAAGTTTGTGATGTGATTCTTTTAACGCTTTCCGATGCTAGCTGTTATTTATAAGCCTATTAATACTTGTATTCTTTAACTCTGTTGACAGAAAATGGTCTAAAGAGGATCTTTCATAGATGGACCAAGTAATGATAAGTACAGCTGTAAGCTAAAAATAATCCCGGTACATGGATATCTGATTCCAGATTTCCTTCCATACTCTTCCAGTTACTATTGACATCTGCTTTGTGGCCATGCAACGACAAAATTTTCTTCATCATAGAGTTCATTTCAATGTTAAGAAAATTCCAGCTGTGTTTCCCTACTCTGGACTCTTCTATGGATTTCCTATTTTTTTACACATGGGTTTCAATCATGTTAAATTTCTTCTAGCAAGTCAAAATGTTCCTCCTGTCATTGAGGCTAAGAAGCTGGATACTTTGAAAGTCTGTCATGCTTTTCAAGCTGCTGACAGCCAAAAAAAATTAGATGAAAACAAAAAAGGGCACTGTGCAGAGGATGAAGATGATGAGCTTTGTCCAGTTGAATGCGTACGAGAATTTATGACTGATATGGAATTCTCCAAAATCTTGGAGAAGGCCAAGGATTCTTTAGTTGTGGTGGACTTTTACCGGACTTCTTGTGGAAGCTGCAAGTATATAGAGCAGGGTTTTTCAAAATTGTGCAAGGGATCTGGCAATAAGGAAACACCTGTTATCTTCCTGAAGCATAATGTGAGATTTTATTTTTTTTCATCCATTTTAATTTTAATTTTTGTTGTGGATCTTGGGCGTTTGCCTGTAGGTTCCGAACTAGATAACATAATATTACAGTATGTTAAGTTCTCTTCCCTTAGTCCTCTATGCAATAACTGATTACTATGTAAACAAGTATGCATGCATGTACATGCACACATGCAGAGTCATACTTGCTTTGAGCACTGGTGGATGCGTACATGTGCCTTACATGCATGAGCATCATTCATGGTGACAAAGGATGCTCACCATTAGCTAATTCATATGGCTTAGCTAGGCAGCTAATGCAAACTGAAAATAGTTTGAGCAAATAAAGGCTAGCTTCAACTTAAAATGCCACTGTTCTTCAATAACTGTAATTAACATCATGGAAGATGTTGTTTGCTGCAAGGATGGAAAAGTGGTATTACGGAATGGTGAAACAGATATTCAACACAATCTGCATCACTAGTACTTATCAGGAAGACAAGATGATCCATGAAAACTCAATATATATGATTGGGTATATAAGAACCATGAACCAATAATAATTCCCTACTATCACATGCTCTTATTGTTTTATATTTTTATTTTAAGCATAGTGCTAGTAAATACATGATTTGCTTGTAGAAGAAGGAATCTTGATGAATACGACCCCCCATTTTGTATATTGTGAGGGATCATTTGCAAATTCCATGTTAGTTTCTCATCTACTCATTGGCACATCTGTTTTCTTATGAGTGCTTAGTCAATACTTTAATTATGTTTCAGCCACATTTTATTTAGTGAAAATTATGAAATCACTTTGATCTAATTTCAAATAACCCATCATTCTTTTAAGCAAATTTCAAATACCCCATCAAAGGATACTTCATTATGAATTTTGAAATTTATCAAATCACACACTAGGGGTGTGATGTCCAATTTTTAAACTCAGAGGTGATTTGAGAAGTTTCCCTTTTATTTATTTATTTTTTGAATAAAGGTTAACTCCCTTTTATTTATTTTGTTTATGATATAGTCAGTAATCGTCTCATTTTGTAATGCCTTGCAGCAATATACAACATACAATGCATATTTTTGACTGCTTGTGTTTCAAAACCCATGATCTGTCTACAAAGGGGTTTTTGGCTCTAGAAATTTACATGCGTTTCTCTAGCATTGCTGCATATGACTCTTTGGAAGGGATATATCACAAAAATATTGCACTTATATCATTATGATCATCGTTGGAGCCTTATTCCAACTATTGCGGTTGGGCTACACTAATCCTATTCCTCCATTTCGCTCTATCAAGAGCACCATACCCTCTGTCAGACCGTAAGTCACTATATATTTTTTCACTACTTCCATCCATGTCCTTTGGGGTCTTCCCCTTGTCCTTTTAGGTCCTTCCAATCGAACCAAATCACCCGTCCTAACCGGTATTGTTCTAGGTCAACGCTGCACATGACTAGACGACCTAAGTCTACTTTTCTGCCTTTTATTGTCTATTGGAGCAACCCTAAGTTTCCTAGCATGTATAGATCTACAGAACTTATATATGATCTATAAGTGATCTGTGAGATAGTGTTAAATGGTCAATAAAATGTTTTGTATAGTGCATGTTCTAGTCTCAGTCTGTCAAATTGTTCACTAGGGGTTTGGGTTCTTCATGATTTGGTGATTAGGTCGCGAGTCATCTCATTGTGTAATGAATAGCAGCAATATGCTACTTAAAATGTTCGAAAATCTATTCTCTCTATAAGAGAGTTTTTTTCTTATAGAAGTCAGTTACATGCTTTTATCTAGCATAGCTGCATGTGATTCTTTAAAAGGGAAACACGACTACTTGTTTATGATCTACAAATGATCTAGAGAATATTTTTAAATAACGATCTGTATGGTGCATGACCTAGTCTCACTCTGAAAAATTGTTACTCTTTTGAAATTTGGGTTCTTCATGGTTTGGTTGTTAGGTTGTGTTCCATCATATGTAACCTGAATAAATTGCCACATGGTGTTTAACTATGCCATTATTTGATTTGTCTAATTATTTTTAGATAATTTCCAATTCTTTTAATATATTGCACATGCCAGTGCATGTTTTATTGGGGTCTAACGCTATGTTGCTCGGAGCACTTTCAGGAATAATGATTGTAGTTAAGGGAATCAGGCACCTAGCATGATGGTCATGCTAATGACAACGACAACACTACATGACATTTGTGTCTCACAGCTGACCTAGTCAAATAATAATAAGGATTATACTTAGTAAGATTTTTTTGATAGATTCATGCTAATTCAAAAAATTTAGACTCCCACAAGGTTAAAAATGATTAAAAGTACCTGATACCAAATTGTTATAAAAATGGTTTAAGATTTTAGAGTTCACCATTTCCTACTACCACTTACAATCCTTTGATTAAAAAGCGTTCACCCTTTTCTGCTATCTTTTTGGCCTAGTGCTAGTTGAAGCTAGCTAGTGTATGGTGACATGCACGTTACCAAATCCATTCTCTTATGAAATTATCCCATGGTCTACCCTCAACAACTCTCGCAACCCTTATTACTTTTGAGTTTCTACTTCATGTCAATGTATATTTATTCATTGCATGTGATGTTATTTTTTGTGACTCTTTCATGTGTTGTATTGAAAGCCTGGCTTAATCACCTTGACTTTAGTATACTCTTCTTGTCGTGGTATCTTCATTGTTTACATCAAATAGAATGGAAAGAACAATTTTCACTTTGTAATGAAATAATTGATATGAACACATTTATTGTTTCTCTTGCAATTAGATTTAGTGATGTTGTTTACATTGTTGAGGTCTTTAAGAGTTAACTGTGGGCATGCAATGTGCAGTGTAAAGCGTGTCCCACACCTGAGATCGTTCACTGAAGGCTTGATCTTCATTTGAATTATTTTCTGAGTTGTGGTGCATGATCATTTAATAGTTCGTTTCTTTTTTCAGAGATAACAGGCCTACGATTGTAGGATACTTCCGTCTTTTCTATGATAGAACATAGTAAGAGGATTTGACTTTTTGCTTTCATTACAGGTTATTGATGAGTATGACGAGCAGACAGAGGTGGCTGAACGACTGAAAATTAGAGTGCGTTTTTAGGAAAGATCCTTTTTTCATTCAGGGCACTTTTCTTTCTTAAAGTAATGGGGCTTCATTCCATTTAGCAGTATTTTGAAGTGGAAGATTTGTCACTTGATCTGTTTTACACAGTGTTCGCAAAATCGAACCGGAATGGTTAACCGGACATGGGCTCGGAAGCGGTTTAACCTGCCGATTCAACCGCTCTAACCGGGCAAGTCTCGGGCGGTCAAAAAAGTGTTGAAAAATTAAAAGCGATAAAAAAAAAAAATCTTAAAATGTGAAAAGTATATAAAGAATGATTAAAACAAAACACATTCAAATGAAGTTGAAAATTAATGAAAAGATAGATTTTAACGAATCGATTTGTGTGTAGGGGTAGGTTTAAAATTTACTAAAAAAGATGGGAAAATTATAAAAGTGAATATTATTGACCAAAATAATTGTTAATCTTTATCATAATGTAAAGAATATTAAAAAATGCATTACAAATCAAATTCCTTATTTTTAAAAATTTATACATTTTTTTGATTTTATTTTAAATACCAATTGATCACCAAAACTGCCCAAAATCGGAACTGGCCACCACGAGCCGGTTCCGATCTAACTGGACGGTTAGCACTTAGATCGCCCGATTTTGCAAACACTGGTTTTACATGAACTCTACATTACTAGTCCGAATCCCTTATGATTTCCAATGATTGTTGACATGGCATTCAAACGCATCCTTGATAGATTATCTTATCTATTTATATGGACCAGTATAATGTAAGTATCATTTGTTTTCTTATCCGAATTGCTGTCATCTAAGTATCATTTGTTTTTTATCCCAATTTCTGTTCGTGTCATATTAGTGTTGTCATTCATATTCTTTGTTTGATTTCTCTTTCTAGTATACCTTTTGCTATGGTGTTTCGTATGTTTGGTGAGAAATTGGCTGTTCACTTGCTTATGGTGTCTGAGTTTCTTTTTTCGCTCATCATGCTTATAGCTTTTTATATGGTCAGCCAGACTGCTCAAAGCCTTAGGAAGGAGAATGAACATCTATATTCTCTTAGTCATCTATTTTAAAGAAACCGCATAACAAACTTTCTTCATCCATTGGTTGTAGATTGAAGAAAACAATCTCCATTTGTCTTTTTTTTTAAAAATAAATTATTTCATATTTTACCTTTTAAAGAAAATATAACCTATATTTTTCCTATGACACCTGTCATGGTGTCAGCCTTTGTTATTGGAATTCCTATTATACCAAATAAATTACTCTGCTGCTCTTTGGCACATGCTTCGGCTGGTATTTGTTTCCTTACGCAAAGATGAAAGCGTTAGATTGTTAATAAGTAGGACTCACTTAGTATTTGCTTCTAGCCATGCCTGTGTCCAATGATCTAATCTAAGAATAACTTTATAACAATCTGGCTGTTCGAGTCATCATGTGTGATTAGTGTAGTTCTCTAGGGAAATTTAAGCTTGGAAAATTAGATTCTCTAGGGTCAATCCAAGAGGAAGAAAACGCCAAGTCCCTCTCCTTTTTTGTCACGGACCATAGGCGCACTTTGTAGCTCCGTTGGAAATCAGGAAAGTGTCTTCCCTGGTTTTTGGTTTTATTTTTTGGAAAATCCTTGTAAATCATTGTAAACGGGCGAGTATTATAAGCCCTTTATGTATATGGCTCACTGATGTACTTTTTACCAAGAGCCACCCTTAGTGGGGGCTCTCGGTCTTCTCCCTATTGTAACCATTACTGTCTTAGAAATACACTGTTAACGTTCTTCAAAAAAAAAAAGCTCTTGGCATTGGTATCTTGTCATGCAAAAGATGAGATATTGATGTAGAAAGAATTTCTCATGGACGAAAAATGAAATAATCTTCAAGAGGAAGCCTACAAGTCAGGCTTCAATGGCTCTGCATGGGTTAAACCAGAAAAACTATCTCAGAACTCAACTGCCCATTCTAAATTCTCTTTAGAGAACCCTATTATAATAAAAGACCTTACTTAGAGTTCAAGAATTCCTAATTCTAATTGCAATAGAAATCTTAATAAAAACAAAATTTTTAATGATATTTTTATCCCTGTTAAAACAAAATATTCCATAAGCACTCTAATTACTTTCTAAACAACTCCTGAAATCCTAAAAATATAATAAAACCCTAGAATCCCCAAAAAAAAATTTAAAACCTAAAAAATAAACCCTAAAATTAAAATTGAAATAAACATACTTTCAAATTAAACAAAAGTTTAAAATAAAGGTAATTTTGTCCTACATCAGACTTCCATATTTGGAAAAACTTGTCCTCGAGTCTTGAAGTCGCCTAAGATAAATTTTGTGTTAGTCCTACAACCTTCTTCATGCCAAATATTATGCTTCGAGGCCTTGGACCTGTGGGTTATTGGCCCAATCAAACAGCAGTGATTGTGTACTGGGGCTTTGCAATCAATTGATATATTCATATATACTTTTGAGAAACCCTTGAGGAAAGAGTCATTGTATGTCGATGGAATAACGTGCCATATACACCCGATTTAGTCATATGAACTAGTTGAAATTGCATTAGTTCAGCCATATAACCTTGCTAAAATTGCCTTGGCTCAACCCTAGAGCAGACCAAGGGTGCATCATCGAGATGAGCACTAGATGCAATGGTCGAACCAACAACTTCATCTATTGATTCTTCTTGGAGCCCTTAATCTTTTTCTTCATCAAAGATTGATTCAACCACAAAATTTTATTCGTTATCATAGATAGGATCTCTTACAAGATCTTATCTTTTATCTGAGCATGTATGAGTGTATCACAATCTGCATCCCGCTGATTTTGGAAGTAACTTGATGAAAATTAAGATTCTCCATGATCGGCCTCATCAATATGACGAACCAAATTGTACTCACAAGCAACAAGATTATGTCTCCCCTAAATGTGAGTCAAATTAATCTCGTCAAAATTAGGAATGTCCATTTTCAAATTGAAAACCCTAGAATGATGTCCCCCATGTTTGGGTCTTCTATCACTTTCTTCTTCACTCGATTCCTCAGACGGAGCATGGCGGTGAAAGAGAGTTGTGCTTGACATCTTCTTGGATGGAAAGGGCATTGTCTTTCCCATGAGTGATGTTCCCAAGTTGTGCAGGCTGTTGACCTGCCTTCTGAGATCATCAATCTCTTCATTTATGGCATTGTGATATAGATCTATGAGAGTTCCTCTTCTTTATCCCCTTCTTGTTGCCATGGATTCATCGAAAAAAACACCATAGGCAGTAAAATTAGCAAAAGGCGAGTTCAAAATCAACAAAACCAAGGCTGAAATCAGCAAGACCTAGGGTGAAATCAATATTTCCTATTCCGAAATCAACAAACCCTAGGCTTTAATTGAAAATTTTGCCCCTTTCTGTTCCCAAATCCTCTATTTTGATACCAATTGATGTGGATTGCTGGTGAAGAAAACTGAGGATTTAAGCAATTTCAGGCAAAATACAAACACCCTAGTCAAGAAATCTAGGCTTTCTTTTCCATGAACAAAGGTCCTCCTCTCTCTCTCTCTGTTTTTTTTTTTTTGCTATGAAATCACATGAATGGCCCTTAGACCTCCACACACCTCTTTTTCTAATGTAACTACAAAAGTCATTAACACCCTTCTCTAAAATGATGATACAATTCCAACTTAAAGTAACATAAAATAAAATATGCTAACTTAGAGTAATTACCTTACTTGTCCCTCTCTTTAAGCAAAAATAAAATAAATTAAAACTAAAATAGAAAATAACTGTAATAAACTAAAATCAACTAAAGAAATCATCCAATCATGCTTGCTCATCTTATTCTTCTTTGTAGCTCATTGGGGACTGGTATCCTTTAAATAGGTGCGGAGGAATCTGCTGCTCCAATCGATAATTTTTTTCGCTAGTCATACTTTGCAGGTCATCAGATATCATGTCGCAAACAAGTTCTTGAATAGGTTGTATTTTTGCTGCTTGTTTTTTTCATTTGTTTGTTTTCTTGTCTTTTCTTAAGGATGTGTTCCTAGGTTTAGAGCATTCGGAACAGTTGAAATATAGCGCTCATTAACTCCATTTTGAAGAAGCAAAATTTGCAAGTGTACATTTAGAGAATTCAGAACAGTTGAAACATAGAACTCATTAATCCTTTTTAAAGAAGGCCAATTGACATTCTGAAAAATATGTTGGGAGATGTTGTGTAGGGGAACTAAGTCATAACATGTTGAAGAGAGTCTCGCAGATTAAAGAATCATCTCATTGTTTCTCATTTATTCCAATATTCTATAATTTCACAATGAAACTTGTTTCCTCTTTGCTGACTTCTCTTTTGTCCACGCAATCAGTTTGAATCAAATAGTGACTAGAGGTAAACCATGGGATGTGTTCCCTTTTTTCTGATTGTTGCAAGAGGCTGTTACATCAAGTTTCCTAGGGGCATATGAATGAGATGTGAACAGTTAGGGGAGGAGGAAAAGAAGATAAAAAACAAACCATCAAACGCTTGTTCCTACCAATAGAGTACTATTGCCCTCACGTGCTAGTGAGTCCGTTAGATTGTTAGCCATTCGAGGTACGCTGAAAAGTGACTGGCTTACTCGACAAAGGTCATGTATTTCCCCTCCCCTTTGCCTATCGAATAATGTTTGAGAAATCTCTTCCAGTTCGGGAGAATCTGTGAAATATCAGAACAAAATGTGCACCCCTGTGAGAAGTTTCATTAGTCCTTTTAGCATCTCCCTTGCCCCTTTGGAACTTCATATGCTTTGAAAATGAACCCAAAGTGGTCCATAGTGACTCCCCAAACTGCTGATGGACTGGAATACCCATGGGGCTTCCATGAAAACTAAGCTTGAGCATTCCCAATAGTTGCTTTCTCCTTAAGGCATGAGTGGGGTTTTTATGCACCGAACTGTTAACCACCATCTTCCATTTTCTTACCAGATCCCCCACATGTAAATCCCAAAACTCTTTGTTAGCCATTGCCTACTTTCCTTCAAAGATTCACTTGTTTTATT